TTTGCTTTTGGTGAAGTGACTTGGCGTCCGTCGCAAGCGCAAACTGGTTGGTCGAGCTACGTCGATGGAGTGCGTTGGCAACGTCACTTGGTATACCACTTCTGGTCGACGATGGGGCACTGCTAGCGTGCTGCGCAGTCGACTACGTTCAAGTGGGTCGGCATACACCACACTCGTCGGTAAAAGTACCTGGAGGTGCTGCATGGCTTCTTCGACGTGACGCGGCGGCACGAGCTTGCGGTACGCCATCGAGCTCGCGACCTCGGCGTCTGTGGGGGGTTTGAGCGCCGAGAGCGGCGCCTCAGCAATTTCCTCATTCGATAATATTCGCGGCATCTGCCACGTGATCTTTGGTGGATCGAAGGTGGGAATCTTCTGTGGGAATGTTAGATGAATCGGAGGATTCTTTGCGGACTTTGACACTCAGCTAACAACGTGTGGTGCAGGGACAACTCAGCTCAAATATCCATGCTCCAGATGTGCTGAAATGCGCGACTAGCTTTAAAGCTGTGCCATTCCATGGACAAACATAGTCCATTTCCGAATCTTCGTTCTCGTTCTCAACTGACGCCTGTCAAAGAAATCCCGCGTGTAGTTTGACAGGACGCTACCAGGCTCGTCAGTTGTAGCAACTGGCTTCAGCCACGACATATCAAAACAATAGACCGTGGTCATGCGTCTCGCATTGCTCAAGGCGGTGCACAGCGCGACGCTCGACCGATTGATAGCGACACGGACGGAGCTGTGTCAGCTGCAGCGCGAGATTGCTCTTTGCAAGGCGCCGCCGCAAGTGCCCCAATACATATATGGCTCAAGTCATGAAGCCAGATCCCCGCACGAAGCGTACGCCGCCTTCCAAGAACGCACGGAAGCAAGTGCGCGCTTCGCGGCCATGCAAACCCTCGTGGCTCAGCTACAGCAAAACCAAGCCGCACTTCAGCAAGACCACGACGATTTGAAGTTGAAAGTCCACCGTGTCTTGGCAGCGCTTGATCCACCGATCGCGTAGTTGGTACATGTTTTTTCCGGTATTTCTGCCTCTTTTCCGCTACTTCATTGTTGTTGAAGTGAGTCTATTTAGATCAATTTCCGCTACTTCATTGTATTTCAATCTCTCATACGTGCAACCAACGCGCTCGCTCACTGGTATATCTCGGCAAAATCTGCCGCTTTTGGTCGAAAAACTGAAAAACCATCGCCATTTGTGTGTACGGAGTGTTCGACGCCAACCAACTGATTTCCGCGCCAGCAGAAGTCGTCGTTCTTGCGGCAAAGTCCTCCGCCTTGGCAGACTGCAACGACCGGAGTAGCAGAGATCAAAGGACTAGAGATACTTTGGGCATCAGCGCGCGAATTCTTCTCGGAGCGTGAGGCGATCCGGTACCGTATTTCTTCACGGAAACGTATCTTTGGACCGCAGCACGTCCTCAATGTGCTCGTCATTGATGATTTTTCAACCAATCAAATCAGCGCTTGTAGCTGATTGGGCAAAACTCACGCGATTCGATCGCGGGAAGAGGCAGTCTCGGAACGTGTTACTCGCAGAATGACCTCGGACCCCACGCCATCGACCGACGCCGTCGCCGCCCTCGAAGCCGAGCTCGCGGCCCTCAAGCTCGCGTACAAACAGCTCGAGGCCGAGAACGCGGAGCTCAAGGCCCTCATTGCGCAGAGCGAGAAGGACAAGAAGCCGCAGCCCGACGCGGCCACGGACGAGCCCGAGACCGCAGCGTCGCAACTGAGCAACGCGCTCGGCCGCATCAAGAACGCCGTGGTCTCCAAGACGCCGGCAGCGTTCCGGCGCAACGAGTCTTCGTCACCACCAGTCGAGACCGTGGTCGTCGAGACCGCGGTCGTTGAGCCTGCAGCGCCGACCGCTGAGCCTGTCCGCCGCTCGTCGTTCCTCAACTACGCCGTCGCGTCCATCAAGGGCCGCCTGGGTCTTCCGGGCGTAACTGTGGGCAGCAAGAGCGATACGAACGACGGTGCTACCGATGCTGTCGACAGTACGACGGCCGGTGCAAGCGACGTAGCTCGCAGTGCGAGTGATGCTATCGACACTACGACCGTCGCCGCCGAGACCAAGAATATTGCAGTGCACACAACGACTGATGCTGCAGAAGACGCGAGCGAGCCGACTAAGAAGAGCACAGAGAGCACAGTCGCTGGCACTATGGACGTCGCTGAACCGACGCCCGACGCTGTGAAGAGTACCGACATTGACCAACCTGCTGCCGCATCCGGTGCATCGAGCCAGCTGTAAGTCGGCCGCACTCGATACGAGCTCGATGGGTCGACCGACTGTAGACACCGTGCAAAGTCGCCCGAGCAACTAAACGACTCGTCGAAAAACTGAGTGTATTTTACGTCAACAACAATGAAACCCGAGACGAACCAACAGGCATTGAAGTCACTTGACGACAGACACTATGGATCCCTTGGCGACGACCAGCGCTATACAGCACCAGCGTCTGAGCCTGTCGTTGGCGACGGCGAAAGCAAGTGACGTCCCATCAACCAAGTCATTTCCAACATACGTTGTGGCTTGAAGCGCGATTACCTGCAAGCAAGCTCTACTAGAGCGAGGCCATCGAATCTGGATGTCCTTGACCATAGCGTGATCCTCGCAGCCCCACAAATGTGACTCGGTGGACGACCAGGTCACCACGCAAAACGTATACGCCTGTGCGATGTGCATGTTGGGTTAAGCAGCAGCCATGAGCTCACGCACACGCCAAGGACTCTCTACACACATCTACCCACTGTACGTGGCAAGGCTGGAAGATCTCGTGACCCAGAGTTACCAGTGTAAAATGAAGGCTGCTGGGTCCAGCCTAACACGTATTTCTCCAGACGACACGCCGCAGTCGCCTGGTCGAATCGGACACACATCCGTATACAAAACAACAGCGGACAACCGCTGCAGAGCATACACATATATATATATATATGAACGTGTTCCGCGTTATCTTCATTATGACACAAAGACTTCGCATACGTAGCGCTACGCCTGAATGCGTGGGAGTTGGCTCCAGCACTTGGTCGTTGGGAGTGAGCTGCGTACGGAGAGATCCATCCCTGAAGAGCATGGATGATGTTGGGGTTGTGCCGCTGGTTGTGACCAATCTGTGATGAGATTGCACTTGCGAGAAATCTGCAAAGAAGAAAACGATGGCGACAATGGCGCAGCCGCTTGTGACCCAAGCCCGCGACGAAATGACGATGGCGACGTCGTTGCGGGACGTCGTCGAGCGCATGTGGTCGCTGCCGCCTGGCTGGCCACAGCTTTTGTGCGACGCCTTTGGCGGGCTGCCTCAACTGCCGCCCGATTGGCAAGTCAGAGTGAGCCGGGAGCACGGCTTGCCGTACTACGCCAACAAGGAGCTACGTTGCACACAATGGCGCCATCCAGGGCTACCGGACGACGTGCCGATCCCTCCAGAAGTCGCTGGCTTGAAGCGCGTGTGGCGTCAGCTGCAAGAAGAACGCGCGCAACGTGCCGCCGCCGAAGTAGCGCAGCGCCAAGCAGCCGCAGACGCTGCACGCTGTGCGATCCTGGATCGACTGGAAGACGTCGTGGGACCAACGGCCTTGTTCGCCAAGGTGCGCCATGTCCAAGCCATTCTGCGGGGTTTTGTCCAGCGACGCAATTACCAACGTGTGCGGCGCGCCACCCTCGTTCTCCAGGCCACTGTGCGTCATTTCTTGCTGTCGGGCAATGTCCGACACGCTCGATTCGTGTCCGTCGCGCAAGCCCCACGTGGGCCAGGCAGCTTTGTGCGTATCGGACGCTACGTTGTTTGGCGACAATAGTGTAGGACGTTTGTTCACATGAATTCACACCGCTGTCCCTTCTTCATCTTCTAGTGCGCTGTCCATTCATCTTCTAGTGCGCTGCCCATTCATCCGCGCGGTCTGGCGCGCTTTTGACCCGATGCGCGATATCTTGCAGCTGCAACTCCCGACGTCGGTCGGTGGCTTCCTCTACGATCCCGTCGCTCTGCCGTTCTCAGCCCACAAGTCGACCATCCGTGCCCTCTGGCCGATCTTGCGCGCTTGCGTTTGGTACAGTCTTTGGCTCGAACGCAACAACCGCGTGTTCCGCACGACATTGACGCCCCTGCCCGCTGCTGCGCTCGCGATCAAAGCCGCTACTATCACGCGATTGCATATCCGGCACTTGGCTCGCCGCGCCGTGGTGCCTTCGCTTGCCGAGTCGCTCCATGCCCTACGCGCCGACCCTTGGCGTCCTCGCTACCTCATTCCCCACTCAATCCCGAGCCCCGACCACGCGCCTTCAGCTTGACGTATCGGCCAAACCTCACGAGCGCACTAGGAAGTCCACCATCTTCACTATATAATAGCCTGTTAATAACTCATTCAACAACACCGCTGTCCCTCCCTGCCGAGCGACTGGCGTATACATACTGTAGCATCAAGCGTCAAGCGAGAACAAGCAGCCGCGATCGCCTTGGCCACAGTCGTCCAACGTTGGTGGCTTAGTACAGAAGTGCGCCAAAGGTCATTGCGGTGAACGCCCTACCGGGAAGCCCGCTTCCAAAGTCGTCGGTGGCGTCGGCGCCAGAGGAATTCACGCCATCTCGCATCGCCGAATATGACGAGCCGACGACGAAGAGCGTCGTGCTGGTATATATATACACATCACTTTCCTATCCCTCCCCGTTTCTTCCTCGCGAAGGCCTGTCTTGCCTTCAATCCAGAGACAACTCCGAAAGACGCCGTTCATGACTTGGAAACGGCGCTTCTAGCACCACCTCTAGTTCAAGCTCCAGCGCTGCCTCAGCATAATTCCTCAGCATAGCTCTTAGGACGTCGAAGCAGTAGGCGCGATTTTTGCACCCAAGTCGAGCTGGAGAAGACGCCAAGATACTTGTATGCTTGCCGAGATGCTCGGCACAGCCGTGCTGTAGGGTACTGGCATCTGGTCGCGCGCCGATGTCGCCACTCGAGCTGCACGCGATTTGTGTCAATGATGTCGATTTCGGCCAATCACAGAAGAGGACGCAGCGGATTGGGCAAAACTAATATCACACGAACGCTGGTGACAGACAAAATGACGACGGACCCCACACAGCAGCCGCAGCCGACGCTCGAAGCCGAGCTCGCTGCCCTCAAGCTCGCGTACGCGCAACTCGAGGCCAAGTCGGCGCAACTCGAGGCTGAGAATGCGCAGCTCAAGGACGCCCTCGCACGCACCGAGAAGGACGAGAAGCCGCAGCTCGACTCGCTCACGGACGAGCCCGACCTCGCGCCACCGTCGCACCTAAGCACCGCGCTGGGCCGCCTCAAGAGCGCGGTGGTGTCCAAGGCGCCGACGGCCTTTCGCCGCTACGAGTCGCCGGTTGAGGGTGCCACGACCGAGACGACCACCGCACGACGGTCCGACCCAGGCAGCGCGGACACGACACCACGGACATCTTTGCTCGGGTACGCCGTAGCATCCATCAAGGGTCGTATTGGGCGCCCGGGCGCGGCGAGAAGCGGCAGCGTCGACGCAGCTGACGCGTCCTCGGACGACCCGACGTTGCCCAAAGGATGGGAGGCCAAGGTGAGCCGCTCCAACGACAAGACGTACTACATCAACCGGTCGCTCAAGATCACGCAGTGGGAGCACCCGAGCACGATGGTCGTCATGCCAGCGACAGGCACCAAACCCACCGACGAGACGAACCTCGACTACAAGAGCTGCGACAGTCCGGCCGAGGCCGAGCCCGCAGAGTCGAGCGAGTGGCCGCCACTCGCGCCTGGCTGGCTCGTCAAAGTGAGTCGCAATGGCGGCCGCACATACTACGTCAACCCCGAGCTCAAGCTCACGACGTGGGAGCGACCGACGGCGACGGCGTCCGCTTCGTAAGCAGCGGTCGATTGGCGCCGTACGTACATAGCCCAGTTCCTGGTTGCATGGTTAAATTTTGAATGTCAATGCAGTATACGCTAAATACACTGTATCTCTCCTGCAAGGACTAGGCTACAGTAGAGTTCTTAATGACAGCGTACCGTCCATGCACAGTCTATCATGTCATTTGATCAGTCACATTCGAGGTGAACGCCAGGTTCGCGCACTTGGCAACCGTTACGCTTGCCGCTTGCAACTGCCACAAACTTGCAAGCATGCTGCGGCTCTTCTCTAAGCGGGCGACCGACGCGCCGCCAGCGTCGCTCGAAGATGCGACCGACTTTCCCGCGCTCGCAGCGCAGCTCTCGGTAGTCGAAGGTACGGGCCCGCACGTGCCCTTTCCTAGTCTGCCATGCCATGGTAGAGCGTCTGCGCACGACAAGCTCACTCCTCGTGCGTCACAGCCAAGCGCTCGCCGGTACCGCCGCTTGCACCACCATCGTCTCCTTTGACGCCGATATTTAGAGCTCATGCAAACATCGACCGAGCTGCGCGCGCTGCTCGTACAACCGGCCAACGACGACGAGGTATGGCTCGCCGTTCTTTGAGATATCGACATACGCCTTGCCAGTCGGCGTCGTCCATAGCCGCCGAGCAAAAGGCCTTGGCAGACAGCGTCGCGCAGTTTCGCACGACAGCGATTGCGCCGCTGCAATCGCTCCTTGGGTCGTTTCCACACCTTCGCGTACGCAGTTTTTTGATTCGCAGCATTAACGTCTGCAGTAGCATCGCATGGACCACCGCAAGAGCGCGCTTGCCACCACCCAGCGGTACGACGCCAAGGTGCGCGACATGCACGGCGAGTCGGCGCGGCTCCAGCGGGTCACGAGCCTCTTTTGACTGGTTGAAACGCGTTTAACTCACTTGTGATGTAGAACCGGGCCAAACTGCACGCTGCCCAAGAGCGTTTCCAGCAGCTCGACGCCGACGTGCGCGACCAAGTCAAATCGCTCCTGGCGCTGGATGTCCGCGCCGTCGTCGAGCCGCCGCTGCTTCAGGTGGCACATTCGATCCCACCTAGCATTCACGCAGCGCTCTTGCTGTAGCTGGCCGAATCCCAACAGCAGTGGGCAACCGCGCTGCAGCACGGCTCGCAGCAGTTGCGAAGTCGCATTCGACTGGCGTCGCCACGGGCCCTGCCCAAGGCGCGGTCTTTGGACCCGCAAGGTAGATGCCGACGCAATATCTCGGTCCTACCTCATGCATGGTAGACGACACCGACACGGAAGAGAGCTGCGACAAGGTCGGGTCGTTCCAGCGCCATGGCTCGGACGATCTCGACATCCTCGACAAGAGCCGCGCGATGCGCCCAAAGCACCAGCACGCGTACGGCACCAAGACGTGGGAGATGCACAAGCACATCAAAGCGTCGTTAGCGAGTGGTCTCGATGTACTCGAAGCCGTGCAGCTACCGCCTGGATTCGCCAAGCTCGAATGGATCGCCGTCCACGTCGTCGATTTCTTCAACGAAGTGTCGCTGCTCTACGGCACCGTTTCGGAGCTCTGCACGCCGAGTTCGTGCGCGGCCATGACCGCCGGGCCGTGCTACACGTACCTCTGGGCCGACGACGGCGGCGTTCCGACGGCATGCAGTGCCAGCACGTATGTCGACAAGCTCCTTCGCTGGGTCGAAGTCCAGATCGAGAACCCAAGTCTCTTTCCGTCCGGGACGTTGGCGCCACCGAGCAGCATGGAGCATAGCGCGCGCAACATTCTCAAGCGGCTCTTCCGCGTCTACGCGCACATTTACCACTCGCACCTCGCCGACTTTGTCGCGCTCCACGCCGAGTCGCACCTCAACTTTAGCTTCAAGCGCTTCGTCTTCTTCGTGCTCGAGTTCGACCTTGTCGAAAAGAAGGAGCTCAACGCGCTGCGAAAGCTCATTGCGACAATCGCGCCCAGTCGCCTCGACTAAGACTCACATGACGTGACATGTGACTTGATACATTGAAACGCGCGACTTGATACTTCTGCGCATACGAGGCGTGCGACGGTCAAAATGTCCAACGTCGCCTCGATCATGAACGGTTGGTTGGCTCTCGACATTTGCAGCATAGGCTCCGACGCTGTAGTCATGACCACCATCGAGACAGGCGTTTCGACTATCAGATCTGCATTACAAAATGGTCTCGACTCGGAATTGGCGAGCTCAACGCTGTACACGAGCATCCTAGGCGATAGAAAAAGGTCCCTTGTGGCTGGTTGACAGGTGCTACGACGAAGGGCCGTTGGAGGGCAGGAGGTCCGCAAGCGTGGTGACGAGGCTGGTTGCCGACGGGCGTTCGCTCGGAATAAGGCGCCAGCACTCTTCGACCACGTGTCCGTAGCCACCCAAAGTCGTCGGCAAGTGCGGACGCAGCCCGTGGGTGGCTTTGGCAACAAAGTCATCGGGGGCTAGCCCCACAAACGGGTTTGAATGCGGGTTCGGATATGGGCAAAAGAGCTCCCAGAGAAAGATACCAAAGCTCCAAATGTCACTTGGGTACGTATACCTACGCGCTGTGAACATACAAGCGCCAAAGCTTGCCGTACCCGTCACCAGTAAAGACCTCGGGGGCCGTGTACCCTGACGTCCCCACCGCGTCGGTGGCTTTTGACACGCCAAGGCGAATCGCGCTGCCAAAATCACACAGCTACCACCCACGATCAGCCTCCCAGTGTCCTCTGCGGCGTTGCTTGTACCTTTGCCTCGGGCACACTCGCACTGTCTTGAATCGGTGCCACGAGCAAGACGTTGTGCAGCTATGGAGTGGTTGCAACAGCTCTCCGAAGCGCATCGCACCTTGAGATCCCGATGCAATATCTGCTCTTTATGGAGGTACGCCAGCGCGCAAGCGACTTGGAGGGCCAAGTACCCTTTCTAAAAAATCATCCTACACCAAGATTTCCAGTGCTGAGTTACCTGGACGGGCGTCACGAGCGTCCACGTTGGGCGGTCCCGGCTCGCGTAAAGACTAGAAAGGAATTGTCAACTCTTCCTGAATCTCAATCTCAACACTCAGTTTCATACCTGCCTCCCGCCATAAACGCCGAGACAAACCCCAAGCGCGGCGAGAACCGCACAGATTCGAGCTCCAAAATGTTGGCGTGGTGCAGCGACAGCCATAGCTCGAGCTCTCGCCCAAAGGCGGCGACGACAGCATATGGCGGCACACCGCGGGTCTCTTCATACCGAAACTCTTTGAGCACCCGCTGGCCGTCGTCGAGGCTGTAGACGCCGGCAGAGATGCCTTCGCCAATGACCGTGTCGCTCAATTTCGAGACCGCTTCGGTCTCGATACGTTCGGGGGGCACCCGACTGCGCAGGGTCTCAAGGAGAGCTACAATGTCGCCGACCTAAACAAGCAATTGCTCCATGTTCGCACACAGATAATATCACAAACGTACGGGGCGTCGAAGGGTGGGTGACGGCGCGAGTACGCTCGGAGGCCGGACATCGACTTTGCGCAGCGCGGCTTTTGCAGTCGCGAGGTCGGCAAAGGGAAATAGGGGGTTGCGTGGGGGCGGCGTCGGGGGCACGGTCCCTTCTAGAAGGTACAAGAGCTTGATTCTGCCCGTGGGCTTGCCACGTCGACTGCGCAGCTGCACAAAGTCGCAGAAACGGGTGCGCTGGAGCGGGATCGACGCTTCGCCGACCACGAGCTCGTTGCCGTTGCAGACGTTCAGCACCCGCACTTCGAATGCACTCGGAAAGGCCGCATTCGAGAGCAAACTAAACTCCAACCAGCCCATTGACCACATGGGCGACGTGGTCGGCGCGTTGCAGGCCTTGGGTGTCGTCGCAACAGGCGCGTTGGGCACGACGATCTGCACATACGGGTGCAAGAGCCGACTGCAGACGTGGGGGCGCCGCCATCGACAGGGATCCATGATGCCGGCGCCATGCAGTACATGCACGCGAAGGCGCCACTGCGGATGTGCCTTGAAATCGAACGCAGTTGCTCCGTCGCTGTCGTAGTCGATACCGTACAGCTCGGGGGCTAACGGCAGCACGACTTGTGCGAGGAACTTGGGGTGGCCAGGCAGCCGCTCCTTGCTGTGCGTCATGGCGAGCTTGTGGTTGTGCAGGATGATGCCAACGTTGCCGACGCGCTTGGACTCGTACACGGAAGCGTTCCACGCCGGTTTGTGAGGTGATGGTAGTGTGTGGCACGGCGCATGGAGAGCTTGCCTGTTCTTTGCCGGCGACGACGTTTGCACGCGGTTCTTTGTTGGCGACGGGAGGTACGGGCAGTCGTAGCCCGACGTTTTACCCCAATTTGCAATGAGCTGCGCCACCCCATCTTGCTGCAAAATGCGGTGAATGCGGTGCGGACTGCCTTGCGCAGCGGTCTCGTGGACTAGCGCTGGTCGAGACTTGGTGTGGGCTGTCGCTGGTAGCTTTAGAAGTGGTCGCTACAACACGGTCGTACGATGTGTGAGACAAATTGACCTCGCACCTCGCGTAGCCACGCCTCGTTATTACTCGTCTCGGCGCGGTGCGTTGGCATCGTATGTGATGACTTTGCCATTTCTCGAATCTAAATTTCGCTCGAAACCGCTAGCAAGCTCAAGGGACAATGGCGGCCGAGGTCCCGACAGCGAGCGAGAGTCTCCTCGTCATTGATGCCGCCTCCGACTTGCTTCCGATTATACCGAGCGACAACCAAACAAGTCCGCTGCCCAAGGAAGCCCCCGAAATGCCAAGTCTCGCAAAAACCACCCCGCCCCCCGCCCCCCTCCCGCATCGTCGTCTCTCAAAGCACGCGATCGAGGCCGCCAGCGTCAAGGTGGTCGCGTCGACCGAGGTGGCCGAACCCTCCAAGCTGGACGCCACGGCGGACGCTGAGCCCACTGCACCTGAAAAAACGAGTCCGCCGAAACCCATCCTCGTACCGTCGGGCGCCCCCCGCAGCCATCGGGACGACGCCCCCGAACCGGCCAGTAGTATGCACTTTGAGATGTATGAAGACGACTCGGACGAGACGCCGTTGCTCGAAGCCAAAAGCGATGCGACATCATCGCCCATCTACGACGACGAGTGGGTCGTCTGTCAAACCGAGGTAGGGTACGCGTACTACTACAACACGCGGACCCATGCGTCGCAGTGGGAAGCGCCGCTCGCTGACGACAACGGTCGCGATGCCTTCTTTAGTGCGGTGACCGCAGGCGATGTGGGCGCGACGACGCGGCTGCTCTTGCGCCATGGACGGCAACTGCTTGACGCCACGGACCACAACGGGCGATCCGCTGTGTGGTATGCGCTTGGACACATGAGCATGGCGCAGCTTCTCTTTGAGAGCGGTGCGAACTTGGACCTCACGGACGTGGACGCAAACGGCCTCGTGCACGTCGCGACGCGACAGCGCAACATTGCCTTTCTCACACTCCTCGCGGTCTACGGCGCGAACTTGGACCTCGCAGATGGTGCGCAGCAGACAGCGCTGCACATTGCCGCCGCGTGCGGGTACCAGCGCTGCGTGGACGTGCTACTGCGGCACGGCGCGACGCCCGACGTGCTCGACTCGGCCGCTCGGTCGCCGCTGCAGCTAAGTACGCTGGGCAACCATGTATCGTGCGTCCAGCTGCTACAGACAGCTTCGGCGCAGCCAGCCGAGAGGTCTGACACCGCTTTGCTGGCGCAGGTTTCTTGCTTATTTTGGGCGAGGCTCCAACGTCTTGACGGTGTCGTAGCGGGCAGAGTTTGAACGCGAGATGCAAAAGGCGCTGGCGCAATGCGACGAGGTGTCGCAGTTTTTAGTCGTCAACGATATGCAATGCTCAGATGCGTAGCTGCAGCAGCGCTACACGACGCTCGAGACCGCGCACCGCATCGCCAACGCCCGCATTGTCATGCTCGAGGCGGTTGTCGACCGCTGCGAGAAGGACCTCGATGCTGAGCGCGCGCTCTTGTGGCAAAAGGTCACTCAAATCTCAATGGCTGCGTCTCAAAACGTATAGGAACAAGCTTTCAACGACGCCCAGCAAGCCCAGTATGCTACGCTCCAAGACCTCCAGCGTCAAGTCGACGACGTCGTTCAATTCGCTGCGTACGCCGATGCATCTACTCTGGAGGAAGGCGTTAACAAGCTCATATACATTAGACGATCCCGGTGCGAAGTGACCGCGCTGTCCGAAAGCCACGCCCCCGAACGAGAGAGCGCGGGGCCCCTATACGTCGAGGAAGATGACGCGACATCGTTGGAGCCGTCCGACACGATTGCATGTACCCCATCTCTTCCACGAGACCAAAACACAAGCTAGTGCTGTCTTTAGTTGACGATGACGAGATGAACGGTGTCGTCAAGGTTGACGAGACACCGATTGCGCCGGAGCGTGTCGGGGCCATCTGGAGTGCCTTCTTCAACAACGCTGCCAAAGCACGCGCACACGACGACGGTCCGTCCAAGGTTTTGGACGCCGTTTATGACGGCGACCTTGTCACGCTGCAAGCGCTCCTCGTGCACGGCGCGTCACCGGATTCGCGCAACGACGACGACCAGACGCCGCTGCACATTGCGTAATACGATCGCAATCACTGGATTCCAGTTCACAATTGAGGTTAGGTGTGCACATGGTCGACTCGAATGTGCCTCGCTACTCTGCGAGTACATGGCCGACATGGAGGCGCGGGATGCCCACGGTATGGATGCTGCAGAATACCAACAACGATGGTGGCGCGTAGGACACACGCCTCTCTTCCTCGCGTGCCGTCGCGGGCACTTGGCCAGTGTCAAATTTCTATTGGAGAGTGCGGCCGACGTGCATACGGCCAACGACGACGGCCGAACGCTTGTGCACGCCGCGGCGCTCGGCGGGTCTCTGCCCTGCCTCCACCTTGTGCTCGAGGTATATATCAATCTTCGAAATGAGTTGCAAGAGCTGACGTGTAGTACGGTGGTGATCCGTTTGCAGCTGATCGCGACGGCGAAACACCGTACGAAATGCTGCTCGAGCGAGGCGACGAGACGGCCGCGCCGTTGCTCGACTACTTGGACAGCCAGTGCTCGCTTCGCCAGCCGCCGCTGTCGCCTCGTTCAACGCCAACTGTAGGCCATTTCACGCAGCTTCCAAGAAAATTCCATGAACAATGAGACTAGGCGGCTGCACCAGCGCCCACGAGCAGCTACGATGTGGACGAGGATGCAGGGCAGGAGGCGCCTGGAGAAGGCTGGCGCGGCGTACGTGCATCCAAATTAGCAAATGAGATCTTAGTCGGCAGCTGTAGTGGATTCGTGGCAAGGCCACATCGCTCTTGGGGCTCGACAGAACAGTAGTGAACGAAGACACCGACGAAGCGGCTGCTGAGGCGCCGCTCTCGCCGCTCAAACCCCCCACAGACTCCGAGGTCGCGAGCTCGATGGCATACCGCAAGCTCGTGCCACCGCGTCACGTCGAAGAAGCCATGCAGCACCTCCAGGTACTTTTACCGACGAGTGTGGTGTACGCCGACCCACTTGAACGTAGTCGACTGCGCAGCACGCTGGCAGTGCCCCATCGTCGACCAGAAGTGGTATGCCACGTGACGTTGCCAACGCACTCCATCGACGCAGCTCGACCAACCAGTTTGCGCTTGCGACGGACGCCAAGTCGCTTCACCAAAAGCAAAAGAGCTCGGCGCGTTACGTCGACATTGCATTTCACCCCTAAGTTCAATACCCTTTTGTGCCAACCGTGTCTCTCTCTCTTCTCGCTTGCAGTTGGGTCATGCTGAGCCGTTCCCACCAGACTCCACGCAGCTGCTTGGGTGAAGAGGAGTGGCCGAATGAACGTCCGTTGAAGATTTGTTCGAGAAATGCACCTTGTGGCAACTTGACACACTGTTGGCCCACCCGCGCTGTTGTTCGACAAAACTATCAAGGTACTTTTATAGAATCATAGTCGTATTTGCTAAACGTGCTGTATCGAATTTCGATCAATCGCCTGGCTTGAGCCGAGCGACTGCGCGCTGTCAAATCTTCGAGGGATATCAACGACCACCATTCAGCGGCTCAGAAAGCGGCCAATCAAACGTGCGCACGCAGACTTGCAGTCACATGATAGGGCGCCAGACCGCGCGGATGAATGGACAGCGCACTAGAAGATGAATGGACAGCGCACTAG